CTCAGCTGCTTGGGGGACTGAGGCTCCTGGGAGCATCGCTTGAGCTCTGTCAAGGCTGCAGTGAGCCAAGATTGTGTCACCGCACTCCAGCCTAGGCGATGGGAGGAAGACCTTGTCTCAAAAAAAACCCACAAAAAACCCCCAAAAAAGCCCACCCCCACCAGTATGATTACTAATGCTGGTCACTATCAGTCTCTTTTGAAAGGCAGTATTGGCTGGGTGCAGTGGCTCATGCCTGTAAACCCAGCACTTTGTGAGGCTGAGGCAGGCAGATCACCTGAGGTCAGGAGTTTGAGACCAGCCTGGCCAACATGGTGAAACCCCATCTCTACTAAAAACACAAAAATCAATTGGGCGTGGTGGCGTGGCCTGTAATCCCAGTTACTATGGAGGGTGAGGCAGAATTGCTTGAACCTGGCAGGTGGAGGTTCCTCCAGTGAGCCAAGATCACACCACTGCAGCCTAGGTGACAGAGCGAGATGCCATCTCAAAAAAAAAAAAAAAAAAAAGGTAGTATTATCTATAAGATTCAGATTATATTTTTGCGTAGCACTGGAACTTGAGGATTGTGATATATTTCCAACAAAAGAAGTACTGTAATACAAAAAAGATTATTAAACATTTTTAGTTAGTGCTTTTCATGAGAGGTTACCAAAGAAAAATAAACATTTTTAAAATGCTGGCACTTTAGTGATTTTTTACAAAGTATTTTGTGTAAGGTTACTTCAGCAGTAGAGACAGGACTAAAATCCTGTATATTATCACAATTTATCTCCATGCATTCCATTGACGGTCACAATTGAAGCAATTATATCCAAATTATGAAGAAAATATATACCAAACTTCTATAATTACTTAACCTTGAGGCTAGCCTAGAGATATTTAAAACAAAAAATGTTAGGCTGTTATTAACATAAATTCTAACTAGTCTAAATAAACCCAGTATTTCTTTTTTTGTTGTTTCAGTTTTTGTTTTTTGAGACAGTCTCACTGTCACTCAGGCGAGAGTCCAGTAGTGTCATCATGGTTTACTGCAGCATCAACTTGCTAGGCTCAAGCAATCCTTCTGCCTCAGCCTCCTGAGAAGCTGGCCCCACAGGTGCATGCCAACATACCTGGCTACTTTTATTTTTAAGATTTTTTGTAGAAACAAGGTCTCCCTATGTTGCCCAGGCTGGCCTCAAATTCATGGGCTCAAGCGATTCTTCTGCCTTGGCTTCCTAAAGTGTCGGGATTACAGGAAGGAGCCACTGCACTTGGCCAACCCAGTCTTTCATGCTACAGTATGGGCTAGAGAAAAGGATGAAAGATCACATGTGATAGTGATAGAGGTACTACAGAGCTAGAGAAAAAGATCAGCAACTCATTTCTGATATATAAAGAGAGAAGACAAATTCATAGGTTAGGTCACAGACACAGGTAAATAGGAAAATAAGGAAATATAGAAAAAGATTTGTATAGAGTTCTTTATGAAAATAATCTATTTCAATAAATCTATTAAATAGATAATAGCTGGATACCAAAAATGACAAGAGAAGTTTATCAATTAAAAAGCCATTTAACAAAAGACCAGTTTATACATTCCTTTCAATTATGTCCATAAAAAATTTAAATATGCAAATTACATTCTCAAACCCAAAAGAATCTTTCTAAACAAATGAAATACAGATATAGACAAAGTCAGGATCCAAATTATTTTAAAAAGTTTTTAAATTACAGTAAATTATATTTTTTAATTACAAATGAAACAACAAACTGACAGTTTTATACAATTGTTAAAGTTTCAAAAAGTTCAGTGATGGAGCAATAGTATCACAATTTATTTAAGTAAGCACTGTTCACAAATGTTTATGCTTTTGTAATATACCTATTTTAATTTTGTTAATGAATTTAAAGAGCTAATGTTGAAACAACCAAAAAAATAGAAATGTATTTATTCTTAAAACATCCTAATTTTGCCCATGTGTCTAAAGTTGTGAATTACAGGAACACCCTCCAGAAAAATCAGGTATTTGGTAAAGCAAGGCACATAGGACCAGATTTTGATAAAGGTGCTTGTTCTCTGCTCCTGTAACTACTTTAAATAACCTGGAGATTCATAAGATGACTTTCAATATAGCATAAATAACTTTTATAAACCTTTTTTATGTAATGTCTTCACCCATGATAATTAAATATTATAATGTGAATGTGTAAATCAAATGAGCGATGCTAAACCCTTTAAGAAAAAACCCAACTCAGTTTAATGACTGTACAATGAAATTTTAAAAGTTCAATAATTTGATATGTAAGAATAATCAGTATTACAGTAAGTGTAGAGAACATAACCAGTTTCCTTTCAGATTATATCTCCTTAGAATCTAAATATTAAGCTACCTTTCCTTCCATGAAATTATGACATTCAATATAAATTGATGTAAACATTTAAGTTTTGCATCTCTAAACTATATATTCCACTATAAAAGTAGCCTATAACATCTCTAAAATCACTTATTAAAGAACTGATAATATAATACTGCCGTGTTGAAACATCCATCTGTTGCATTTCAAACTTTTCTTCCCAAATACCATATTCTTAATTTTTAAAAGAACTATCAATTGGCACTCTTCTCCCATGAGTTAGCACATTTTCACATTGAACAAAGTAGTTGCGTGATAACAAATAAAAAGTATAGGAATTTAAATAATGATGGGAGTCATCATTATAAAAGCTTGATACAGTAAGGCCTGTGGAGGTCATCAAAATACACATCACACACACAAGGAAATGGCATTGTCTGTATATGTGACATGATCCTAGGGCATAGGTCTACCTTCTCATGTATGATTACTTTTTTATGAATTAAAAATTATAAACCACATAGCCCAATCTCTAATAAACATTTTCAAACCCACTAGAAAAGCAAAATATAAATTATGCCTGCCCAATAAAATCGTGCTTTGAAAATATACTTGACTACTTTGTCCATTTTTACAATTCTTGTTTACATTTTTATAACTTTCATTAGAAATTTTGAAAATTGCGTTTTGACACCTAAAAATGTGTTACCACTGTAACTAACATGTCTAATATCTAATTTACTTGTATAAGTTTTTTAAATTATTAAAATAGAAACAGACTAAACCTGATTAAATGTGAATGCACACTGCATTAATACATTTAAGTACCCAACCAATACTTCAATGTGCGTTAAACATAAATCATATTTCATCTTGAATTCTGTGCATTTGCAGGATTTAGATTTTACGTAGCAGTAAGTAATAATGTAAGTCTGAATATTATTGCAATCTAAAACTACCATGTTCAAAATGTGGTGAACTTATTAAGCAAATTCTAAAGGGTGGTTACTGAAAATCATGTTGGGAATCCACACAGTTTGCTTGGTACCAATTTGGAATCACCACCAAAGTGATTTTAAAGATTTGGTAATTTTAAATGCTTTTAAACTTTGGATGGAATTGATGAGCCCTGCAATCTGTAGATTATTACTGCAAAAGCAAGGTAACACTGCCAGTTCACGTTAGGCAAGTGTACCCAACAGTTTGTAACATAGTATTTTTGAGTCAAATTCTGTTTAATAAAATCCATGAGAGCTATATAAAAATACTTATTTTTTACAGTTTTTATATCTATTAGAACAGTCTTTAAAAATATATACAGTGTAGGCCGGGCACAGTGACTCACGTCTGTAATTCCAGCTACTCAGGGGCTGAGGCAGGAGAATGCCTTGAACCAGGGAGTGGGAGGTTGCCGTGAGCCGAGATCGGGCCACAGCACTCTAGCCTGGCGACAAAGTGAGACTCTGTCTCAAAAAAAAAAAAAAAAAAGTATTTTACTTTTTTCATTCATACTGTGGGTGTGTGTGTATGTAAACATATATATATTCTAATCCCTGGAAATACTTTCAAGTTTTGATTTCTAGATGCAATGTGTTTTGTTACATATACACATATTTTATCCTTAAACTTTTTAAAAAACACTCCTGCCTCAGCCTCCTGAGTAGCTAGGACTACAGGCGTGCACCACCATGCCCAGCTAATTTTTGTATTATTGGTAGAGACGGGGTTTCACCATGCTGGCCAGGCTGGTCTCGAATTCCTGACCTTGTGATCCACCCACCTCGGCCTCCCAAATTGCTGAGATTACAGGCGTGAGCCACAGCGCCCAGCCAGTAAAATACTTCTTATACTCAGTAAGTAATTCTGTCTATAGTTAATAATTAAATTAAACCCATATTCAAATTATAGAAAGCATTTTTGCTCACCAAATCATCTTACCATTTATAATATATTCTCTCTCCCTTTAACCAACTTATTAAATAACTCATGTAATCTGCATCCTCAGCTCCAGTGTTCATTAAAAAGGAAAAAAAAAGCCACTATTTTAAAGCAAAATGGTGGCTCCTTCTCAGTAGCTTTTTTTTTTTTTTTTTTTTTTTTTGAGACAGAGTCTCACTCTGTCACCCAAGTTGGAGTGCCAGTGGCACAATCTCCGCTTACTGCAACCTCTGCCTCCCGGGTTCAAGCGATTCTCCTGCCTCAGCCTCCCGAGTAGCTGGGATTACAGGCACGTACCACCATGCCCAGCTAATTTTTGTATTTTTGGTAGAGACGGGGTTTCACCATGTTGGTCAGGTTAGTCTCAATCTTTTGACCTTGTGATCCACCTGCCTCGGCCTCCCAAAGTGCTGGGATTACAGGCGTGAGTCACTGCACCCGGCCTTCTCAGCAGCTCTTGTGGGAACACAGAAGGGGAATTCAAAATTTGGCTACCTCTCCCACTCGTGTGATCAGGGAAGAACAGGCTTATGAGAGACCTAAAAAATTCTTCCGAGCAGCTTTGGATTTAAAGTTATAGCGCTGTTTAAAATAATGTAATATGGCAATCTGGAATGTCTCCAAGAAAAGTCATTTTGGTCTCAGTCACTGACATCTGTACTATTATTTGTTTGAATGTTCTTTTTGTCAACAGTTGTAGAGTAAAGAAGTTTTTACAGATCAATGAGTAAAATGTTCATTTAATAACTTTCTAACTATATACAGTATATGCTTGATAATTCAAAACTCTCCAAATGTGGATATGATACAATAATTATTTCAAATTATTAAATGAGTAATCCTTTTAAATTACATTTTGAAAATTTAATGGCAATTACAAATTTTAATTTAAAATAATATTAAGGATTTAATCTGATTTACAGAAATGAAATGCAATGAAGAGATTAGGGGCTAACCTCCCATTACTATAAAATTCTCTGGCTAGCACAGGAGCAACTGGATTGCTTTCAGCAGTCTTGAAGCACTAAAATATCTTAAAATTCATATGGAGAAATAGTATGTATCTCTACATTAAATTTAGATATGATATTTATTCTCTGACAAATCAGACCCAGAATATTACTTTATTAATTTTTATGTAATTGAACAAAAAACATTTAGCCATCCTTCATTTAGTAATCTTTTGCATAAATATAAAAATCTCCGATAAGTGAAATGTTTTTTCAAATTATACTTCTATTTTTTCACAGCTTTATAGGTAATTATAATTTTCAAACTTTAAATATTTCATGTGATTTGATATATCTGTACAGAAAGAGTAAGATAAAAACACTTAATAACATTAAATCTAATTTGCAAAAATTGATATCTGACATTTGTTGTGTGCTCTTGCAAAGAGTGCATAGGACATTTCTGCAGCAATCAAAAAGGTAAAATCTTTTTAAACTCAGATTTCAAGTTTTCTCTAATATTCCTTCTAATTCTAATCCCTGGAAATACTTTCAAGTTTTGATTTCTAGATGCAATGTGTTTTGTTACATATACACATATTTTATCCTTAAACTTTTTAAAAAACAGTATGATCAGATTCAGCATGATGATATCTTCACAGACTCTGTAGAAGTCCTCTGTGCAAGATTAATGTCGAGATTCCTAGTGCACCATCGTGAAAAACCAGTTAAAGATAGTATACAACTATGCTTTAGTGGGATTTCCTGCAGGTTTGGGATCATAACCATATAAAAAAGTAGCTGTTATTACAAGGATGGCTCCAAGGAAAAAGACACTGAATAAGACGAAGACAAAATAAAAAAGAGAAAATCAGATTAAAAGCAGAATAAGTTCCTTCTATTTCTTTACTATAAAAATAATTATAATTTGGGGAAAAATGTTCCAGTAACACAGCTAACAAATCTTGAGTACCTACTACATTCCAGGTATCTGGCTAAGTGCTTTATATGCATTATTTCATTGAGTTCTCACAGCAACTCTATGAAGATGTACTAGTATTCACTTTTTACACATGAGGAAACAGTTTTAAAGAATTTAAAGAACTTGTCTAAAGCCCCATAACTTCAAGAGGATTCAAACTCAGGTATGTCTAACTCTACAGCCTGTACTCTCGTCCACTGCACTATACTGTCTTCTAAAACAAAGATATTTTAACTTCTGTATTTCACCTTAATAGGGATTTTGTATGCAATACATTCAATAACAAAAGGTCTTAATTCTTCAGTTGAACATATGAAAGGAAAATTTTATTCTGTCATGTTAAACCAAGGTAAAGTTTAGTTTAAAATCCAAGATAGTAATAAGCAAAACTCAGGACCAATTTTTATAGGATGCTTTACAAAAGGAATTACATTAAATGCAGGGAGTTCTTGGTTTCCTCTTTATCCTATGTATCTATAGATACAGTCTACCTTACGATACATTGGAAATGAAGACTGGATATGTGAATTAGACTAGACTACAAATATTAACTTTTTTTTTTTTTTTTTAAAGACAGGGTCTCACTCTGTCACTCAGGCTCTGGAGTGCAGTGCTGTCATCATGGCTCACTGCAGCCTCGACCTCCAGGGTTCAAGCAATCCTCTCAGCTCAGTCTCCTAAGTAGCTGGGACTACAGGTGCAAACCACCACACCTGGCTAACTTTTCTATTTTTTGTAGAGCCGAGGTTTCACTTTGTTACCCAAGCTGATCTTGAACTCCTGGGCTCAAGTGATCTGCCTCAGACTCCCAACATGCTGTGATTACAGGCATGAGCCACTGTGACCGGCCTGAATCTTAACTTTTATTTATTTTTTTGAGATGGAGTCTCTTCTGTCACCCAGGTTGGAGTGCGGTGGTGTGATCTCGGCTCACTGCAACCTCCGCCTTCCAGGTTCAAGCAATTCTCCTGCCTCAGCCTCCCAAGTAGCTGGGATTACCGCTGTGCACCACCACCCGCCGCTAATTTTTTGTATTTTTAGTAGAGACAGGGTTTCACCATGTTGGCCAGGCTGGTCTCGAACTCCTGACCTCAAGTGATCTGCCTGCCTCAGCCTCCCAAAGTGCAATCTTAACTTTTAATGTGTACATTTTTAAAAATGCTATTATAGAGACATAAGCTAGTTTTGAATTTAAAGTTTCTACTAATAGTCCAAAGCCATGCTCCTGTTTTTTTTTTTAATTGTCTGTAAATGAAAAATAATTACTAATCATTATTAAAAGGCCCTTCAGAATATGGTCCCTCCAAACTCATCCTCCCCACTTCATGCCACCCAATCTATAATTCAGCCACTCCACTCAGTGAACACAACATACACCTTCTTGACAGTGTCTTTAGAGATACTATTCCTTCTGTCCACAGTTTCTTTGCTTCTTAGAAAATCCTTATTCATAATTCAGGTCTAATGTCTCCAAGACTCACTCCCCTAGGCAGAACTCCCCTAGCATAACACTTACCACACTGCCATTAAATGATGCATAAGTCCACTCCCCTGCTCAACCACGTGCTCTTCATTCACTGTGGTACCCACAGTGCCTAGCATATACAGGGAGCTCAGTAATTATCTGTTATGATTAATAACTAGATTTGACTTGATGCAAATGATTAACTCTTCAAAAGACTTGCAGTTATACATATAAAGTTATTAGGATAACATAAAACATCCTATAATGTATCTTGAAGAAATTGCTACCACATTAATATTTGGTAATTATTAATTACTAGACACTGTCTTCATTAGTCATTATGAACTATTCTTAGCTTTCTGGAACTTTGGAATGGCATGGACTGAAAGTTCATGCTCAACTGAAAGATTCTATGGTCTACCTTTGTATCCACTGCAGGAATCCTTTCTATAATATCTTTAGCAGGATCTACTTGAATACCTAATAATGTCAGGAAACACCTGTTTCTCAAGCCAGCAATTTTTAGATGGTTCTGAGAGAGAAAATTGTCCCAGAAAAAAATATATATATTAGGAAAAAACTATCAGAATGTAATGATTACTTCAAGGATCTGAGCCCCCTCTAACAGAATTATTATATGTATACTTCCATTGTTGCATTGATCATACTGCTATAATTCATTTATTCACATCTGTCTTTGCAATCACTTGATGGTCACCAAACCTTGATGACCTTGAAGACAACAAATTGTGTCTCATTCATGCACTCCTTTTCCAGGAGCTAGCACGGTGGCCAGCAGGCACATAGTAGACACTTAATAAACTTTTGATAAAAGAATAAGCAACCCTAAATGGAAGAATGGTAACACCACTAAGCAAAATAACAAGAACAAGAAAAATAATTTAGGGAAGTGGGTAATAGTGATATTGTATCAATGGAGATGTCTAACAGTCAATAGAATAAAGGGATCTAGAGTTTAGGTGAAATTTGAACTTATCTTCCTAGAGAAGACAGATATGACATGGCAGTGGATGAGATGGCCGAGAGAGGGAGCAAGGATTGACAAGCTACCAAAGGGACAATCAGAAAGGCAAGTATAGGCATACCATTTCAGAGAAGCCAAACAAACAAACAACCCAGTTTCAGAAGGTGGAATGACGCTAAAGGCAAATATATTATTACATTTAGGATAGAATTGAATGAAGATTGAGAAAATGTCACTAGATTTATTACTGAAAATGTATTATCCACAAAGGTAAGATGCATAAAGACAGAGGGCTTAGTTACCTATTTTAGGAAAAAGAATCCATCTTCTCCATCTGGCTGAGTGTCCTGAGCATATTCTCAAAATATTCATCCATTCATTCATTCATTCGTTCGTTCATTCATTCAATAATGGCAGTATCATTGTCTTCTCTCTATCTTCAACCCAACAAACCTTATATACTTCCTCAGAAACATGAATTTACAGGCAGGCATATATCTCATTGCCAAACTACTACTCTTTTGTCCCTCTGTTGGCTTACTTGTTCATTTATTTGTTTATTCTCTGCATAATTCAAAGATTTAATTACCTCAGCCTTACATAAGGTTCTTTTAAAAAAAAAAAAAGGTATGATTTTTAAAGTAAAATCTAAAAATCTGCAAGGTGCAAACATTCTCAAAGTACATTAAAGCATATGATTTCCTCATCTTATGAACAGGGAATACGATTAAGGTTACAAAATTAAGATATAAGTGTTCATTGTTAGTCTAAGTCTCACTAGCTAAGTGATTCATTTCCATACAAAGCTGAAAACAGAAATGCTTTTAAATTTTTATCTCATAAGAACTACAAATCTCAACATGTATGTTCCAGACCTATTGTCTAGATTGCTAGAAAAGAATTAAAACCATCAATGTTCAATATAAAAATATAAAAAGGATATTATATTTTTATAGTGCCAAATTCCATCCATAATCCTATTTCATTCTCAAAAACACAAATGAGTTCGGCGCAGTGGCATATGACTATAATCCCACCACTCTGAGAGGCAGAGGTGGGAAGATTGCTTAAGGTAAGAAGTTCAAGATCAGCCTGGGCAACAAAGCACATCTGTAGTCCCAGCTACCCGGGAGGCTGAGGCAGGAGGATTGCTTGAGCCCAGGGGTTTGAAGCTGCAGTGAGCTATGACCGTGCCACTACACTGCAATCTGGGTGACAAACTGAGATCCTGTCTCAAAAATATAAACATATAAATAATAAAGTAATAAATAAATAAAAGATCCTTGGGAGATTCCAAAGTTTAGAGGTTGAGAAAATCAGGAGAAGAGTAAAGTTGGAGGAAAACCAAGAGTGGTGTCCTGGAAACAATTAAAACTTCCCACTAGTCTGGGATTATAAATTAAACAAAATACTAGAATTTTCAATGCTATCTGTAATGGATATTCATTACACTCAATTTTTCCTGATGCTCTCTCCTCCCTTAGCGTCCATAAAACTACAGAGTCCTGGGTCTCCTTCCTCACTTATAACTCCTCCTGCAATTCCTTTCCAGTCTGCTCTTCCTGCTACCACCTAATTGAGTTTCCTCATGAGCCACATTCTCTATATAAACTGTCTTCTTCAAGGAAGTCATGTAAATTCCGTATTTTAAAAATGTCATTACATGACTTATTTTTATGACTTTATATGACTTATTAACTTTTTTATATCACTTTTTTTTACTTTGCAGGGAAAATATTCACATCTATTTATTGGGAAAATTCTGGCCAGCCAAATTTGTATAAAAAACTTTTCAGAAGAAGACTTTATTTCATGACTTTAATTTGAAATATTTTTAAAACATAGTTAAATAAATTTTTAAAATTATATTTCAATGCTTCTTCAAATTTATCAGATCACCTTACGGAGAATTCTAATTTTTCTATATACTTTTGGGGATTAAAAAAATAGAAAAGAATATTTTACCTGGTTGGCACAAAATCTTGAAGCCAAAAATAGGAGATCAATGTTGATAATATTATCGATAAAGAGGTTGCAAATCCTTTTAAAATATTATCTGCATACTTAATAACAGCAGCTATTACAAGGCCTCCAAGTGCCTGCAGAAGTTTTAAAAAAATATTTTTTAAAACACACATATAAAACTGCATTTCAAAACAATTTCATTATTTAATAAAGCTTTAAGCTTTTGTCCTATAAATTCAATCCCATTATAGTAAGGGATTGATTTTAAACATCTCTCACAACAAATAGACTTACAGGTTTTGTTCAATAGCCCTCTTATTTCAAAAGGCATTTAATAAAAGTAACTACCAGGATAATCTGCAGTTTGTTATAATGGAGTTTGACCATATTGCAAATAAAATGTCTATCATTATCCAATTTAGTAATTAAACATCACTTGTTCGGACAAACGTGAGAGGACTGGTCACTTTAAATAGTGAAATATTTTTACTTTTGAGTAAAATTAGTAATCAGAGTCATTTTACAGCCTTTCAATAGCCTCTTAATTTGACTTTTTTCCTATAGTTTCTCCCCGTTCAATTCCACCTTTTATTACTGTCAGATTAAGTTTTCTAAGGCACAATTTTAATTGTGCTCTTTCTTTAAGACTGTAGAAAGAACTTTCTACCTAATCCCTCTCAAATTCCCAATTGTAGCTACTTTAATAATGAGGTTTTACTATACTACACAGTTCTGCTTTCTGCCAAAGACTACTTATCATTTTCCAAATCTGGGTTACCTACTATAACAACTTTCAAAACACCTCTTCTATGATGGAAGCTTTATTTAGAGAAAGTCATAAATTATGCCAGTTGAGCTTACTCATTGTTTCAGTCCCAATATTTTTTGGCAATGTTGTCATTCATCTGTTTACTCCCTATTGAATCCTTCATACCAGTTATACCAAACATTTTTTATTTTTCTCATATCTTCAGCCCCTTTTTAAGGGAAGGGGGCTTCTTCTCTTTGCTGGAATAAGATACATCATACATAAACTCTCTTGATTCACCCTATCTCCGCTTCAAATTTTCTTTTAATTATTTTTTTCAAATTTTCACTTATCCTTGTCTCCTTTTCTGCTATCTTAAAAATAGAAGTATCCGGCTGGGCGCGGTGGCTCACGCCTGTAATCCCAGCACTTTGGGAGGTCAAGGTGGGTGGATCACGAGGTCAGGAGATCAAGATCATCCTGGCTAACATGATGAAACCCCGTCTCTACTAAAAATACAAAAATTAGCTGGGCGTGGTGGCACATGCCTGTAATCCCAGCTACTCAGGAGGCTAAGGCAGGAGAATCACTTGAACCTGGGAAGAGGAGTTTGCAGTGACACAAGATCGCGCCACTACACTCCAGCCTGGTGACAGAGCTAGACTCCATCTCAAGAAAAATGAACAAATAAACAAATAAAAATAGAAGTATCCTACCTGCTTTTAAAACACAACTATCCTGGCTGGGCGCGGTGTCTCAAGCCTGTAATCCCAGCACTTTGGGAGGCCGAGATGGGTGGATCACGAGGTCAGGAGATCGAGACCATCCTGGCTAACACGGTGAAACCCCGTCTCTACTAAAAAATAAAAAAAAAAAAAAACTAGCCGGGTGAGTTGGCCGGCGCCTGTGCCTGTAATCCCAGCTACTCGGGAGGCTGAGGCAGGAGAATGGCGTAAACCCGGGAGGCGGAGCTTGCAGTGAGCTGAGATCCGGCCACTGCACTCCAGCCCGGGCGACAGAGCGAGACTCCATCTCAAAAAAATAAAAATAAAAAAAACACAACTATCCTTTGCTACCTTCACCTTCCTTTCTGGAGCCTTGCTTCTTAGGCTTCAAATATCTCTAGAAGAATAGGAGGCTCTAAGGATAGTGACTTGTGTCTTCATTTTTATATCCTCTAGAATTCTCCATATGTATTTTTTAAAGATGTAATTAATTACTCAACCCTTGAACAATTCCAAGCTATATATAAACTGAATTTGACAGATGTTTTCCAATATGTAACTACAATATGAGGCTATGAATTGTCACAATTAAATATCCAGATCTGCTTCTTGGGTCTTAATGGCTGACCCAGACTTCCTGTACAATGATAAGACTTATAGAAAAATCCAAAGTTATATTTGCCTTAACCTTCAGCTCTTTTATTCTTAAACCCGTATTTTCATTATGTTACATTTAAATACCACAAAGTTCATTAAAGATCCCTTTTCAAAATAAGATTTCATTACAGCATTAAGATCACTTCTATTCTAACTTCCTTGAATAAACTAGATACGAGAGCACTAACAGTAGTGACCTTTTCCCCTCACATCAGCATATCAGGAGCTACTTTGATTCTCTATATTAAAATAGAGTTTATTAACATTAAATCTAAGACTTTAAATGCTTTACCTGAAGAACAACTACTATCCAGGTCAGTCGGTTATATCCCTGAAAAAATCCATTCTTTGATACCAGTTCTCCATCATAAATGTATACACCCATTAATCCAAATATACTTCCAAAGAAACCTAAAAAAAATTAAAGTCTACATGACGTATCATTTAGTTTTTCTGAAGAGAAATATTTTTTCCACTGACATTCCAAATAATTTTATACTTAACTTTTTCTTTTTGATAAAATTAGATTACTTTCTTTTTTTTGAGACGGAGTCTTGCTCTGTTCCAGGCTGGAGTGCAGTGGTATGATCTCGGCTCACTGTAACCTCCGCCTCCCAGGTTCAAGCAATTCTCCTGCCTCAGCCTCCTGAATAGCTTGGACTACAGGTGCTTGCCACCACGCCTGGCTAATTTTTTGTATTTTTAATAGAGACGGGGTTTCACTGTGTTAGCCAGGATGGTCTCGATCTCCTGACCTCGTGATCCACCTGCCTCGGCCTCACAGAGTGCTAGGATCACAGGTGTGAGGCACACGCCCAGCCAACATTAGATTTTTTTTAAAATCTTTACTTGGTTTTGTATACTTAACAAAAGTATACTTAGTTTATGACTATAAGACAAAGACATACAAATGTAAAAAGACAAAGACAGAATATAAAAAATAACAGACATTATCAACTTTGGAGCACTAAAATAATACAATGCACAAATTAGATGATTACATGGCTAGCCCATTCAAATATGTGCAAATTGCTCACATTTGGAATATGTCATTGTTCTTCCACCTTCCTCTTGCTAGATCTAGATTTTCATATATTCACATTGGTACATACAAATATAAAAGCTCAGGCAGGGAGTACAACATTTTTCCTTATTAAGAAGTTTCGAGAGTGGGCACAGTGGCTCACGCCTGAAATCCCAGCACTATGGGAGGGCAAAGCAGGAGAATCATTTGAGCCCAGGAGTTTAAGACCCGCCCAGGCAATGAAGCAAGACTCTATCTCTACCAAAAAATTAGCTAGGTGTGGTGGTGCACGCCTGTAGTCCTAGCTAATCAGGTGGCTGAGATGGGACGATCACTTGAGCCCAGAAGTTTGAGGTTACAGTGAGCTATGATTCTACCACTGCATTCCAGACTGAGCAAAACAGCGAGACTGTCTCTAGAAAGTAAATAAATAAAGTTTTGTTTTGAAAGTATAACTAATAATTAATACCCAAAAAATCACAGCTAAGAAACAGTCATAGAAAACATTAGATTCTGTGTTACTGAAGCTTCACTGTTAGAGAAAGTCAACTTGGTAAGAGCAGAAACTGTCTTGTTCATGTTGAATCTCACCTCAAAAGCATAGTCTATCACATGACTATTGGAATAAGAGACTCCCGGAAGCATTGCTAGGCTATAAATAAAGAAATTCATGCTGACAGGGACCGCTTTTTATGGGTAGCCTTTGAAATATATGCAGTTAAAGAGTGCAAGGGTAAAGCAATTTTTAAAAATGAAGTCATAACTAATCAAAGTATTCCACAATAGAAAGGAAGTGAAAAGGATGTGAAATGCTCTAAAATTCCATTTAAGTCAGTTCTATCCTTTTAATGTCTAATTTCAAACATGAAATTAATGCTGGCATATAATTGCCAAAACACATCTGATGGTATTTTATATGATAGTATTATATATATAAAATATGTACGTGTGTATATATATACACACACACGTAAAAAATACCATCAGAAGAGTTTTATATATAACATATATATATATAAAAAATATGTATATTTTGAGACAGGATTTTACTCTCTCACTCAGCAGGCTGGAGTGCAGAGGCACAATCACAACTCACTGCAGCCTTGACTTCTTGGACTCACGTGATCCTCCCACCTCAGCCTCCCAAGTAGCTTGGACCACGGGCACATGCTACCATACCTGGCTAATTTTTGTTTTTTTTTTTTTGTTATTGTTTTCTGCACAGAGTTTTGTAGTGTTGCTCGGGCTGGTCTCCAATTCCTAAGCTCAAACAATCCACCTGCCTCAGCCTCTCAAAGTGCTGGGATTACAGGCGTGAGCCACCGCATCCAGCCTTACACATATATATATTTTTTTTAAGAAACAGGGTCTCACTATGTTGCTCAGATCTCAAACTCCTGGTTCTCAAGCAATCCTCCCATCTCAGCCTCCCAAGTATCTGGGATTAGAAGCACAAGCCACCACATCCAGTAAAGTTTTTTAATTTATGAAAGTAAGACTTCGTAATTACCAAAAAAGTATACATTATAGAAGGATACATACATGTCATACATGTCAGCATGAACAGGTCTACTGCATTCTAACAGTTGCATAATATTCCTTTGTATGGATTATAATAGCAAATATGTATGTATCAGCATGTAACAGGAATTATTCTAAGTGCTTCCTGTATGTTAACTGATATACAACACTATGAGGTAGATGTCTATTTTATAGATGAAGAAACTAAAGCATAAAGAGGTTACATAACTTGCCCAAGCTCACACTACTGGTGCTCACACTACTTATCTTTGTGCTCTTATAGGATAGATCCTTATCCAGACTTGGAATTCTTACATTACAGCCTACACATATTTAAAATTTTAGCAAATATACCAAATATTCCCAAATTGAAATCCAACATGGTTATATCAATCTATACTCCTAGGAACAATAGGTAATAGAGTTCCTGCTTCTCTATTCTCTAGCTAAAATTGGATCTTATCATGTTAATCTTTGACAATTTGATGTTTGAAAAATGCTATTACATTGTTTTAATTTGTTCTTATAATTTTGAATTGTGATAAGCAATTATTTAAGTATCTTTTCAAAAACGTTAAGCCTGTTACCATTTTTTTTCTATGAGCATTAGAGCTTATGAGGTCACCAAATAATAAGAAATCCATGAAGCACATTAGAACCATGAATTCTGATATGTCTTCCATTTTTATCTTACAATTCAAGAAAAGTTTAGGCAAATCACACAAACCTTAATTATTTCTTTTTCTCTGATATTGTATTTTATATAAATAGTTGACATTTATTAGTGCTCACTATACGTAAGACACTTTATTCTTGGCTCACTGCAACCTCTGCCTCCCAGGTTCAAGCGATTGTCCTGCCTCAGCCTCCAGAGTAGCTGGGATTACAGGTGCCCACCACCATGCCTGGCTAATTTTTGTATTTTTAGTAGAAATGGGGACTCATCATGTTGGCCAGGCTGGTCTTGAACTCCTGACCTCAAGTGATCCGCCAGCCTCAGCCTTCCAAAATGCTGGGATTACAGGTGTGAGCCACCACACCTGGCCTAGACACTTTATTCTAAACACTTCACATGTAGTAATTTCATTTAATCCTCATAGTAATATATGAGATAGGTAGTAAAATTTAGAACATTTTGCAGATGAGGAAAGTGAAGCAGAGAAAGAAGTAACTTCCCTAAGGTCACATAGGTGGTAAGAGATGAAACCAGGATTTGAGTGGTCTGATTTCAAAACTAAGTATTCTTAACCCCTCTGCTATAGACACATTATTTCTGAAAGATTGAATTAAACTGCTTAACGCTTTTCATGCCTGTGAGCTTACTTTCTCTAGACAAACGAAAGAAGCTAATAAAATTTTGCTTTAAAAATATTTACTTTGAATGTTCTTATGAAAAAAAAAAAGACACATTTCTACAAATTTTGCAGAGAAACTTAAAGAAATCCTATGTGATTAAAATGAAGGTGCAATCTGTTATTACATTACTTGAAAACAGGTGGAAGGATGAACTGTAATAAAATTTGGAAGATTTGACATAAAATATAGGCCATTAGGAGTACAGACAATTTAGGGCCTAGAGGGGCCTGTATGACTGCTGATCAAGATAGACATGGTGCCACAGAGCCACACTACCTGGATTCAAATACTGAGTGCATTACTTACCAGTAATGTGAGCTTGGGCAAGTTATTTAACCTCTCTGCACTTTAGTTTCCTCATGTATAAAATGGTATATGGACAGAAAAAAAAAATAGTGGTTTCAAAGGTACACCTCAAAGTCACAAGGACAAAAGCTTAAAATAGAATGTGTTGATTTTCAGATGAGCTGCTTTTCACATGGGCAGTTCTATATGACATCACCCAAAATGAATGTATGCCAGGAATACTAAATGCTGGAATCTTCGTAGGGGGATTTAAATATTACAATACTAAAAGAAGTTTAAATATTTGTTCAAAGGCTTCAATATAAGAGATTTTTTTCTTTTAAACTATTTACCTTCAGTTAGAAAAATGCTGCAGTATTTAAGAGCTAAAACATAACATTTTAAAATAAAACAGCACATAAGATTTTAAAACAGAGGCCAGGCACGGTGGCTCATGCCTATAGTCCAGTGCGCTTTGGGACTATAGCGCTTTTGGGTGGATAACCCTGAGGTCAGGAGTTCAAGACCGGCCTGGCCAACATGGTAAAACTCCGTCTCTACTAAAAATACAAAAATTAGCTAGGCGTGGTGGTGGGCACCTGTAGTCCCAGCTACTCTGGAGGCGGAGGCAAGAAAATCACTTGAACCTGAGCAGTGAGCTCAGATCGTGCCATTGCACTCCAGCCTGGGCAAAAAGAGCGACATCCCATCTCAAAAAAAACCCACCAATCCAACCTAGCTGGACTTCTTAAAGCCATTTTTCCTTCTGAAACTGTACTTTTCATAGCTACCAAAGACTTTTCAATCAATATGGTAACTAATTTTTAATAATAAAATTGTTCATTCTCTATTTTCAGCTTGCTTCACCACAGAATTAACACTACTGACTACTCATTCCTTACCTCTTTTTTTTTTTTTTTTTTTTTTTTTTTTGAGACGGAGTCTCGCTCTGTCGCCCAGGCTGGAGTGCAGTGGCGCGATCTCGGCTCACTGCAAGCTCCGCCTCCCGGGTTCACGCCATTTCCTGCCTCAGCTCCCGAGTAGCTGGGACTACAGGCGCCCACAACCCGCGCCCGGCT